TCTTCTTCTTCTTCTTCTTCTTCTTCTTCTTCTTCTTCTTCTTCTTCCTCCTCCTCCTCCTCCTCCTCCTCCTCCTCCTCCTCCTCCTCTTATTCTTCTTCTTCCTCCTCTTATTCTTATTCTTTTTCTTCTTATTCTTATTCTTCTTTTTTTTTCCCCCTGAAAGTCTCACTAGAGAGCTCTTATTCCCTCTCCTGGGGCAGCTGTAGGCTGTAGCTTCTGTAAAGGATGGTTTCATTTTTCTCTAAGTGCAATGTTCCTGAGCAGAGGCAGATAAATTTCAAGCGTCGTATTTGTCCAGTTAGCCCTTTCCACCGCAGCCTTGGAATACAAGTTGACTAGCCTGTTGTTTGCTGTAAGGTCTCCTAGAGTTGAGGCCTCATATCAAGCCAACAGTTACTGCCAGAGGAATAAGACTGAACCAGTGGTTTTCAGTGGTCTGAGTCATCTGCTCTCCCAGCCCTCAACAACGTGAGAAACTCAAACACATAGGAGCTAGGTGGCAAGTAGTGGGAGAGCAGCACATTCCACTTAAGTAGGAGAGTAACACTGTAGGTGTCTTAGAAAGATTGATGTATGTGTCATAGCAAGACCGGATGGCCTGGAGTAAGTGGGGAAACAAGCGGGAGAGCAATTGAGGATCTTGGAATAATCTTAACAAGGAGTCAATAGTTGTGGCAATTACAAAAAAGAGATGGGCTTTCTGACTGACCTTTGCCTTTGTTATTATGTGTCTTATTAAAAAGATATTTATCCCATAAAAGTGGTCATTGAGACAGAATTTGAACTCTTTGGCAAGTAGTTTATAAAGCAGATCTGGAGACGGACATTAGTTGAAGTGCAGTGGAGAAGAAATCAGCATTTAATCTGGTGCCGCAGTGAAGTGCTCTGGGGAGAGGGCAGGGCAGGAGTGAGTGTCACCAACCTGACTGCTGGGGGATTTACACTCCTTTTAGATTTGCTAACCAGCAGCTCACTGATGACCTTGAAAGACCCCTTTCAATGGAAAAGTGGATATCGAATCAAACTTGTGGGGGATTAGAGAGTGGACAAGTAGCAGATGAAGATGGTGGCTGAGGGTGATTCAGGAAAAGGGTCTGATCACAAAGGAAGGGGAGGCACAGCAATCTGGATGTGCTTCTGATAGCAGTGCTGTCACTTTGTTTCAGCTGTGAAGGATCTGGTGGTGTCTGCTGGGAGGAGTGTCCAGATCACCCTGCCTACGAATGAAGTTCAGTTAAATGCTTTTGTCCTCCCAGAAGCAGAACCAGGTAAGATACCTCTTTTGGGAAACATTTCAGTTTGTACTGGTGTCTACAAGTCTCAGTTCATTTGCTTTTGCAACAACCCCGTGAAGACAGGATTACATGTGGGCATACAAATCTGCATGGACACAGGAGGCGGTATTCTTCCCAGCTGGAAATCAGCTGCTCTGTTTCTTTAGCAGTGCTGAGTCCCACATGTGCTAGATAAGTGAGTGCTTTGCCATAGAGCTACCCCTCCAGCCTGATGTCAAGGCTGTGTCAAATCCTAATTCACTCAATTTTATCTTAATTATTTTAAGCAAATGACTCCTGAGTTTTTATTTCTCTGTAAAGAATGAAACAATGATCCCTATTTCACAAAGTTGCCTGAAAGAGCAAAATGTAACAATATATAAGTGACCTTGTTCAGTGCCTTGCTAATGCTCTTCAATGTGTCCTGTCCATATAAAGAACAAAGCTGGGGATATATAATTCAGTGGTAAAAGGAGAAGAGGAAGGAACCAAGACTTAGATTATTCTGTTTATTTTGGCTAAACAACTAATAAATATGAGATATAGAACTTGAAATTATTCAAAACTGTTGGTAATATAGATTTGTTACTTGAAAAAGTCATGGCTGGCAAGATGGTACAGTGCATAATGGCTCTTGCCACCAAGCCTGATGACCTGAGTTCAAGTCCCACTTGAACTGATACCTATAAATTGTACACACACACACACACACAGTGGGGAGGTAAACTTAACAAAAAGTTTTAAAGAAAAAGAAAGTACAAGCTTTGATCTGGCAAACAAAATTTATATTTATAAGTTATATGAGTTGGTGATAATTTCACTGTTTAAACCCTTGTAGTATTAGCATTCATTTCATTTTTTAAGTGTAAGGTGCCTCGTTAGCATAGTAGGTAGCTCGTCAGTCTCATATTTTAAGTGTATGTTACTATACTAGATGTGACTCATAAAACAAATATAATCTCGTAAGAGCACCTGTGACCAGACTGGAGCATTGGAAGTGATTGGAAGTAACAACTTCGTGTTACTTTTATGGCAGCCCTTCCATTTTATATCTCGATGTTTCCAATTCACTATTCTTTGTTGTTGGGTCTGGAGACACTGCTCTGTGGTTAAGAGTATGTTCTGCTCATCCAGAGGACCTGAGTTCCCAGCACCCACACTGGGTAGATTATAACCACTTGTAACTCCAGCTCCATTGGATCTGATCCCTTTAGCCCATAGGGCACTACGGTCAGTTGCACGTACCCTAACACAGACACATATTACACGTAATTTTAAAATAATGAAAATAAAAAATTTAAAAATGTTTTTGTTGTTTTGGAGACAGAGCCTCACTCTTTTGGCCTTGAACTCATTGAGAGTCACCTTTCTCTGCTTCCCAAGTACTTGGGTCAAAGGTGTGCACCTGGGTGAATTTAATATTCTTTGTTTGTTTGTTTTTAAAGACAGGGTTTCTTTATGTAGCCCTGGCTGTCCTGGACTCACTTTGTAGACCAGGCTGGCCTGGAACTCACAGAGATCCACCTGCCTCTGCCTCCCTGAGTACTGGGATAGAAGGGGTGCACCATGGTACCCAGCTGAACTCAATATTCTTGATATGAGAGTCTAGTACTGAGTAGTATATTCTTGCAGAATATACTTTGCCAGAACTGTTTCCACCTGTATTTTTGCTCTTGAAGTGACATTTCCTTATCAGTTCACTCCACTTTTTTTGAATTAAAAAATATTTTTTCATGCAATAAAAATTTTTAAAGGTAGTCTTTTTTTAAAGTCTGCATGTACACTTGCGCACCAGGAGAGGGCACCAGATCTCATTATAGATGGTTGTGAGCCACCATGTGGTTGCTGGGGACTGAACTCAGGACCTCTGGAAGAGCAGCCAGGGCTCCTAACCTCTGAGCCATCACTCCTGCCCCATTCAATATATTTTCATCATGTATTTCCTTCTTCCAATTCCTCCCAATCTTCCCCCCACCTACCTACCCACCCAATTTTATATTCTTATTTTCTTTTCTTTCAAAAGCAAAACTAGACAAAAGAACAAGAAACAAAAACAAACAAGAAACAACCCCCCCCAAAAAAAAAACAAAAATAAAAGTAAATAAGCAAAAGACCAATAAGACAAAAAAATGGCCAAAATAAAATGAAACAAAAAGCTTATAAAAATACCATTGAGTTTGTTTTGTGTTTGCCAACTACTCCTGGGCATGAGGCTTGCCTTTTAGTGTGGTAGGAATGAAAGGCTCAGCCAACTGTCTCCAGAGAAGCTCTGTCCTTTCTTTCTTGAGAGTTAAGTTCAAGGTGAATGAATTTAGTTGCCCTTGAAGATGGAGGTGAGGAAGCACTTCCTTAAGTAGGGGTTGCTTCTGCTTCTGTTCTTCTGTGGAAGTTAGGCCCTGCTTTGCAGTGTTTTTTTCCCTAACTTGTATTTGTACACAAATTTCTGATTTATTACCATGGAATGCTCAGATCAGCATTCCAAAACACACTTTTCTTTCAAACTATCCTCTGTCCAGGTTCTTTAATTTTCTAAGTGGATGGTTTAACTTTAAAAGTTGGGGCTACTGGGGCTAGAGAGATGGCTCAGAGGTTAAGAGCACTGGCTGTTCTTTCAAAGGTCCTGAGTTCAATCCCCAGCAACTACATGGTGGCTCACAACCATCTATGATGAGATCTGGTGCCCTCTTCTAGCCTGCAGACACACATGCAGGCAGAACACACACACAAAAAAATAAATCTTAAAAAAATAAAAGTTAGGGCTACTGAGGCAGGACCCCATCTGCATGTCCTTCATTCTCTTCTGCCCTGTGGTGGCCCACTAGGATCTCTGTAAGTTTGGAAGGTCTGGTTTCAAAATCCCTGCCCTAGCTCAATAGTCAACATTTTGTCTAACAACCTGTGTACATGTACATTCCTACCCAAGGATGAATTTCTGCTTATGACTAGGAATATCAGCTTTTTGGGAGTCTGTTTGTAGCTTTTGATATATAAAATTGTTAGTTCCCAAACTATTGTGAATGTGTCTTCTGTGGGGGAATTTTTTTTTTTTTTTTTTCTAATTACAATTTGAAAAATTATCTTAGTATGAGTCCTGGCTGTTGCTGCTCCTCTGCTCCTTTATACTTGACTTTCGTGTGTGCATACCTGAGAGTAGCTCGGGTGACAACAGGCCCAAAACTATACTAGTTTTGGGGCTGGGGAAGGCTTATAAAATAAAATTTGCTTCTTAGATTTTAGGGACTAGGCTGTGTGCTGAGCTTCACTTGAGCTCATTAAGTAAAAGTGTGGCTGTGCTTTGCTTGTCTCCTGTCTCTTGACCAGTAACTAAACCTTCTACCCCATCCCACCTTTCCTTAGCTGGAAATGCATCGGTTACTTTCCTGGGGAGATTCCACATAGCTGGCAGGGTTCTACGCACATGCCAGCCAGTGATAATCTAAGCTGCAAATGAGGACCATTTACTGCCTCACTTGATCTTAATTAATTTCAGTGGGGCCTGTTTCAAATGGCCATGCCCTTCCATCTTCTGCACTATGTTATTTAGCTCAGCAGGAATGAAGTAGCTCTTTTAACGCACCAGGGTGTGATGACCTCAGTGAGACGAGCATTGTTAGCACTCTGTAGAAAGCTATTTTTGAACCATGTTATTTAGAAGTCATTGCTGTTCTTTGTTGCAAAAGAAGTTTTGTAAGAAAATGACCTTTGTTCCCAAGGAGTTCATCTGTAGTGGTTGGTAGGACATGTATTTTCAGTGAGAAACACACCATGAACAAACCTGATTTTTGTTTTGTTTTGTTTTTTGAGGACTGGCCCGGGGGTGGGTATGGGGCAGAGTGAGCACTGTTGAGAGAATGAAAGAGACCCTGGCTGTAGCTGAATCAACAGAGCCTTTTCAGGAAGTAGGTAACTTCCCTACAGGCTTTTGGGTAGAATCTTAAAACTTAGGCTTTGTCAGGATTTAAAAGAGGTTTGTTATTGGCAGCTGTGGAAGCGATTTGTTATTGGCAGCCTTTTGTGTGTAGGTGCATGTTTTCATGGTTTTTTTAACTGCCCTTCTATAGGAGAAACCTACACCTACGACTGGCAGCTGATTACTCATCCTAAAGACTACAGTGGAGAGATGGAAAGGAAACACTCCCAGATCCTCCAACTGTCCAAGGTGAACTTGCCTCCTTTCATTGCAGACTGAGAGTAGAGGAGGTGATGCTCGTAAACAGAGAATACAGAGTTTTCTGTCCACACTCAAGTTGGGAACAGTCTTTCAATTGTGAACTCTTCAGAAGTCCCCATGGCAGACAGCCAGTGTTTGTTTAGTATATGAATCTCAAATTTTCATTGCTGGCGAGAAGACTGTACCAGCATGGTAGTGATGGCTGAGAATATACACTCAACAGCTCTGTGAGGTGACATAAGCACTTCAGGATTCCAGAGATAAGTAGGTTATTTGTGTCCACATGACTGCATCTGTTGGCTCTGCTGGCACAGTCCCTTTGCAATTCAGAGTAGCTATGAGCAATAAAATATTCATGTCCTTTGGCCCAGCACTTTCCGTATTCAGTGGCAGTTCATTGCAAACTTTGTTTGGCCTCAGACTCAGAGATCCACCCGCCTCTGCCTCTGGAGAGCTGGGATTAAAGGCGTGTGCCACCACGTTCATCCAAAGCCTTAATCTTAATATTCAAGAACAGTAGAGTTTAGGTGACACAAGAAGCAGATAATTACAACAGAGGGTCAGTAATGGAGTCTCTGATGGCCTGGGGCTTACCGTGGGTTTCTTAGAGTTAACCTTTGGTTCATGAAAGGAGCCCTCCTTCCCGGGTAAAGGCTGGAAGGAGAATAGTCTAGAAGAAGCCCTGGGCCAGCATTCTCTACAGAGAGGAGTGCCACATGGCCCAGCCTGTGGAGAGAGGCATCAGCAAGTGGAGAAGCAGATTGTGGCAGAGCTTTGGACACCTTTGAATCTTGTGATGGATTTTTATTTTGTGTGTGTTGTGTCGGTATGTCAGTAAGTGCCTTACTTACCTGCTGAACCATCTCATTGGCTTTACCTCTGAGTCATGTCTATAGAGCAGAGACATGCTCGGATTTTCAGTTCAGAAATATGGCCTTCCTTATACTGGTGGACATAAGACTCAAAGTGGGAAGATGAACGAGGAATCTATTGACAAATTTAGGTAGGAAATGATACTATCCCAAATAAAAACACTGAAGTAAGAAATTAAAACAAGAAGCCATCTACTCCATTCAGACCAAGTAGCAGACATGCTGCTAATTGTTTTTCATAATTATTCTTTTTTATTGTCATAAAAATCTCAAGATGGTAGGTAGTAATATCTGTTTTACAAATAAAAAATACAAATATTTAAAAAGACAATGTCTTGGCTAGTTCACAAAGCCATGAAGTGGTGGGTTGTATCTAGAACCTTCCATCTCTTAAGCCCTCACTTCCATTCACAACTTCTGTGATGAATGGTTGAAGAACCAAGACAGTGGAGGTGTGGTTTGGGACAAATGGGTAAATTGAGATACTGTAAGGAGATATTGGGGAGGATAAGTCTAGGGTAACTCTATCTTCTAAAACTGGACTTTTGGGGTAGATGAAATGAAAAGCAAAGCAAAGAAACATGTTTGGAGGAGATTTACAGACAGATGATTAATTCATTTAGAGCAGAGTGACTTGAGGTACACGTAAAGCATGTGGGTGGAGTTGACCCATTAGTAGCTGGAGGAAAGGACTAGACACAGGAGACAAATCTGGTTCAAGGGATACATTTGTACATCTGTTAAAGTTGAAGCTGTAGTCACGGGGAGGTCTGCCCGAAGAGTATGTGAGTACAGCTTCGATCCAGAGGCATGCTGCTCCTCAAAGCACAGAAGGCAGAGGACATGGAAGAAGGAAGGTAGAAAGGTAGAAGCCGAGGATAAAGGCATTTGCAGGAGAGACTGGCTGATTAGTACTCATCCAAAACAGATGAAAGAAAGAATATCTTTATTTTCTTTCACAATGTTCATTTTAATCATAACAGGAAGAATTTGGAAACCACCCAAGCATTTAACAATGTGGAATGCTTGTGTGAATTATGAGACATATATTTGTATAGTTCTATAGTCATTCAAGTGAATGAGTGTTGCGGAGACTGTATCATAACCGGGAGTGTTACTTATGCTAACTGAACATAATAAACAATGAAAAGTATGATACCTTGATTTTTAGCTAGACCCCAATGCCAGTGAAATTTGGCCTGGGATAGTGACAGGTACATGACTGGCTCTGAAGAAATGAGCCAGATGTGGTGGCACATGCCTTTAACCCCATATCTCAGAAGGCAGAGGCAGGTGGATCTCTGTATGGTCGAGGCCAGTCTGGTCTACATAGTAAGTCCAGGACAGCCAGGACTGCATAGAGAAACCCTGTCTCCAAAAACAAAACAGAACAAAAAGCGAAATCAAACCAATGAACCAACCACCACCACCAACAACAACAACAAAAAAGAGAGAAAGGAAGGAAGGGAAGGAAGCAAGCAAGGAATGAAGAAAGAACAGAAGGAAGGAGCTGGACAAAACTATTTTTTTGTATGTGGTCAGGGATTAGAGACAAATACTAAACATCAGCATGCTAGAATAGTGAGACCTGGTGGTTTTACTGTGCTTCCTCTTTGTATTGTGTTGCTATAGTTAGTGGAAATTGGAAAGGAAAATCAGATATTTAAGAACTATTTAGTTTTTTGTTTGTTTGATTGGTTGATCTTTGTTGTTTTTTGTTTAGTTTGTTTTTTGAGACAGGGTTTCTATGTGTAGCCCTGGTTGTCTGGAACTCACTCTATAGACCAGTCTGGCCTCAAACTCAGAGAGATCCTCCCGCTTCTGCCTCCTAAATGCTGGGACTACAGGCATGCGCTACCACTGCCCAGCCTATTTGTTTTGTTTTTTTTTTTAAGATTTATTTATTTATTTTATTCATGTAAGTGTTCTGACTGCATGTACACCTGCATGCCAGAAGAGGGCATCAGACTCCAGTATAGATGTTTATAAGCCACCATGTGGTTGCTGGGAATTGAACTCAGGACCTCTGGAAGAGTAGACAATGCCCTTAGCCACTGAGCCACCTCTCCAGCCCCTGTTTTTTGTTTGTTTGTTTGTTTGTTTGTTTGTCTGTTTTTAAATTAAATTTATTTTTGTGTATACGGGTGATTTGTCTGCCTATATATCTGTTCCACTTGCATGCCTGGGGCCCAAGGAGGCCAGAAGAGGGCATCAGGTCCCCTGGGACTGGAATTACAAACAGTTGTGAGCTGCCATGTGGGTGCTGGGAATTGAACTCAGAACTGCTGGAAGAGCAGTTAGTGCTCTTAACCACTGAGCCATCTCTCCAGATGCCTATTTGTTGATGTTTTTAATTTTAATAAGATATTTTTCTTTGAAGATATGATTTTTAAAAATTATTTATTTATGTGCATTGGTGAGTCTGAGTGAGGGTGTCAGATCCCCTAGAACTGGAGCTACAGACAGTTGTGAGCTGGGAATTGAACCTTTGGAAGAGGTCCTTTGGAAGAGCAGCCAGTTCTCTTAATCACTGAGCTATCTCTCCATCCCCTGAAGACATGATTTTTTTAATTTCATGACTAAGAAGTGGGGTGGTTGGATCTTTAGTGGTTTCTCTGAGAAGAAAATGAGAATATAGAGAGATTTAAACCCTTTTGTTCTAGATACAGCCAGTAATAAGTCACATTAAAAATGTCATGTTTCTTATTAATTTAACTCATCTTTTTAAAATTTAATTTATTTATTTTTATTTTATATACATTGGTGTTTGCCTGGATGTATATCTGTGTAAGGGTGTCAGAGCCCCTGGAACTAGAGTTACAGACAGTAGTGAGCTGCCATACAGGGGCTGGGATTTTGAACCCAGGTCCTCTGAAAAAGCATTCAATGCTCTTAACTTCTGAGCCATCTCTCTAGCCCCAGTTTAACCCATCTATAATCCCTTAGCTAGCTAGTTTACTTTTTTCCTCTTTGAAAATAGGACAAAAAAAGAATGCGGGACTCGGGCTGGGAAAGCTCGGGTACTATTGCCCTAAGCACAGCTTCCGCTCCTTGCAGTTATCTAAAGGATGTGTCTTTCCTTGTCAGCTGACTCCAGGCCTGTATGAATTCAAGGTGATTGTGGATGGTCAAAATGCCCATGGGGAAGGCTACGTGAATGTGACAGTGAAACCAGGTATGCTTCCATGGCTCCCTATGCAGAACTCCTGACAAGGAGATTTGACCTCAGGCCTTTAGATGCCTATCCTTTTTTTGCAGGGTGGAGGGAGATATTGTATCTACTTATTGGGCAATTCCTACCTCAGCATAGCAACTGTAGCAAAGTGCACTGTGCTAGGCACAGGAACATCAGTCACTGGTCTGTACCTCAAGGCCCAAGCCAGAGACTCCAAGTGGCAGGGCTGGTAGATGACCTAGATGACCCAGTGTTGTAATTAAGAAACCTGAGAAAGCTGGAGGCCCTGCAGAAGCACACAGGAGGGCTGGCCAAGTGACTTGCAGAAATCAGAGTTTCTCATTTAAATACTACCAGTTCTCTCACATTTGAAACTCAGCCCTGAATCCATACTGTGGTTCTCTTAAAATGAGCCTGTTGGTAGACCACAGGACAATAGCAAGGCGTCAGACTTTGCACTTGGACAGACATTTGGAAGAAGCTGGAGATGAGTGCCTGTACGGGCATACATTGGTGCTGCCTTCTTTCTCTGTTGGCACTACAGGTTTTTTAGTCCTTAAGCCCTGAACCCAAAATAAGCTTCACCAGACATTGAATGTGTGACCTGCAGACTAGGACCGTAGTTCAGTCAATGATGAGGTGCTTGATAGCATGAGTGAAGCTGTGTGCCTTACTCATCATGGCAGGAAAAACATAAAAGATATGTATGTATTTATGGTCAGCATGAAGACCATTTGGTCACGTATCAACAAGAAGGCTAGTAGGTTTGCATCTCAGTCATTCAGGTAGCCTCGAGTGGTTTGTGGCTTCCCTTTCAGCTATATTAGCCTCTCATAGTCATCTTGAACAGTTGAGAGGCCACTGCATCCTTAGCAGACTTGTGCCGAAGGACACTTTGCTTGCTAAAGTTTCAGTGCTCACTTATTGTCCACTTCTAGTTGGGCTAACCCAAAAGCAGTGATTGATTGGCAGTCATGGTACTTTTCATAAGCGTCATACATGTGAACATTGAAAGAATGCCCAGGGCCATGTAGTGACGCATTTACTTCAGTCTAGCTCTCAGGAGTTTTGTGAGTTGAAGTGCAGACTAAATAGCTAACAGGCTGTGCTAGCATGGCCTTAGGGACATCAAGTTTGGAGCAAGCCTGGCCCAGTGTCTCACATTAGAATGGCAGCCTGGTCTTGTTACTTTTCCATCTGGTGTGTTTCATTCCTCAGTTATCCGTTGCAAACTGATTTGTGCCAGGCAGTGGTGATGCTGAATCTCTGCGAATTCGAGGTCAGCCTGGTCTAGAGAGCAAGTTCTAGGACAACCAGGTTACACAGAAAAAACCCTGTCTCAAGAAAGAAAGGAAGGAACAAACGAATGAATGAACAAACAAAGAAACACACATACAGATGTGGCCTACTTCTTGTACAATTGAATTTTCCTCTTTTGATTTCTTCTGGGTCACTTTCATGCAGAGCCCCGTAAGAATCGGCCTCCTATTGCTATTGTGTCACCTCAGTTTCAGGAGATCTCGCTGCCAACTACTTCTACAATCATCGATGGCAGCCGTGAGTATCTGTCTGAGTTTTGTGGAATGGTGGTCACTGTGATCTGGGGCCAGCCATGTCCATAGTCTATGTAGATCAGTGACTATTCTACATAGACTATGGTGTTGAATGCAGGTGCTCAAGTTGGCGAGAGGCATTCCTTTCCAAGGAATGGAGCCAGAGGTTCAGGTGGTTGTGAGCTGCCTGACACGAGTTGTGGAAGCTGAACTCTGCTCCTCCGGAAGAGCAGCACGTGCCCTGGAGTCACACCTCCCTGCCCTGGGTCTTTGTGAGCTGGGACTGTGGCCTGAGACTTCTGGAGCTGTGGGTGCACAGCTGTCAGCGGTGCAGTGTGTGACCGGCAAGCACAGCTCCCGGCTTAGTCCCCAGCACTGGGAACAGTAAAAGCCCAACCCAGAGTTCTCAGGGAGGTGCAGTCCTGGCGCTGACATGCTTTATGGCTGAGGGAGCCCATGCTCTGGCAGAGGACACACAAAAGAGGTTCAGCGTTATATGTCAATGGTTCTGCTAAGAGGAAGGGACCAGGAGGAAGCAGGTGTCAGAGGAAGGGGGAGAGGCTTCATACAACACTTGCTGCATTGTAGTTTGGAGTAGGTCGAAGTTGTAAAGACACCATGAAGAGTGTCTCCCAGTTCTGCAGACAACCTGTGTAGACCAGGCTGCCCAGGAACTCACAGATATCTGCCTGCCTCTGCATCTGCCTCTGCTGGGATTGCAGGCATGCACCACCTTGCCTGGCAGTTTGCATATTTTTAAAGTGAGGTTTTCAATATATTTAATAATTATTTGTTTTTCCTTTCTCATACAACAGCATTTAACCTGAGATTTCCTAAGTTAGAGTCTCTAGGAAATGACACAGGAACATTCATAAGCGGCCAACTGACCCATTATTCCTGGGGGGGGGGGCTGTTTTGGAGAGAGAGTCTAATTTTATGTTTTTCCAGTTTGAGTTTCCCAAGTGGTTGCTTGGTTTATACCGAGGCCCCGCCTTCTGTATTAAAACTGATGTTCTTTGTGGTCCAGAGAGCACTGATGACGATAAAATTGTCCAGTACCACTGGGAGGAACTTAAGGGGCCTCTGAGAGAAGAGAAGATCTCTGAAGACACACCCATACTAAAACTAAGTAAGCTCGTCCCTGGGAACTACACCTTCAGGTAAATTAGGATTTAGCTTCAAGTTGACCTTGTAGGAGTGACTCTGAAAATATCAGTTCACTTTGGAGTCGGTGGAGAATTGAGCCATGTGGTGACTGATGACAGTAGTGATGACTCCTTAGGGCGTAAGCTCTTCATGTGCATGAGCCTTCTAAAAGTCTTGTCTGGAGGACCCCACATCCCCCAGGACTTATGTTGTTAGGGGAAGGGCTAATTTCCTCTTCCTTCTCTCCAACAACATCTGCAAATTTGTTTTCCCATCTTTTTCCTCTGGGGAATTCTTCCCCTGTGTAAGATGCCTGTAGCTTTCTTTTCTTTTCTTTTTCAAGGCGGGGTTTCTCTGTGTAGTTCTGGCTGTCCTGGAACTCTCTTTGTAGAGCAGGCTGCCTCTGCCTCCCAAGCCTGAAATTAAGGGCGTGTGCCACCACACCTGGCTAGCAGCTTTACATTTCACTGGCAGTCTGAAGATGGTTAGTAGAATCTTTCTTTATTGGGACTTTTTGTAAATTTTGATTCAGAGAAAGTCCTTTGAAGAATTAGCATTGACATTTAGAGTGTCCATCAGGAGGCTTTGGGCTGACTCTGGTGCATTCCTAATATTTGCATTATTTATGCTGTATTTGTAATGACTATCATGCACCTTATTCACCTAATAGTGTTAGGTGAAGTTGTTTGTATTTACTAAGTCCTCTGAGGTCACACTGCAGAGGTCTAGTTGGAGGGTCCAAACCCTCTTCACTCCTGAACTTCTTACACACACACTCTTTACATACATACAAACACACTCACAGTCAGTACATAAACACACATCCACTTACGCTCACACAGACAGCATACACACACACATTCACACACACACACACAAGCACACACACTCACATACACACACATCACACATACACTTACACACAGACAACACATAAACACACATACACTGACATACACACACAGAGTGTCTAAATAATACATACTATTCTTTGAATGCCTTTCTTAATGTTATAGTGCTATCTACCTTACAGATGTCAGTTTCACATGAGGTCCTCTGCGGTGTCTCCAGAAAAGAGAGTATAACTCGTCCTTCCTCTTGTCCTCAGTGTCCTAGCAGCATCTGTGATTGTGTGCCTCATGCCTGGTGCCTGTCCACCATGGTTCTTTGAGTTCTAGACATCCTAGCGCAGCCCTTACATGTGCTCTGACTGGGTGGCACTCTCACTGTCTCAGAAAGCAGAGGAAGGGACAGAAGTTTCCAGTGCAGCCTGGAGCTGCTTCATTGGCTTACATGGGAATTTTGAGTTTGTTTTTACCTTCAGTTTCTCTTCTGAAGCCTTTCCACTTAAAGTATCAACTGGGCAGTTGATACTTTTTAAAAATAATGGCAAAGTTGGACATAGTGGCACTGACCTGTAACCACAACACTTGGGGGACGGAAGCAGGGACCTCATGGAGGGCTAACTAGCAAGACTGTCTCAAAAAATATAAACAACACAGAGGTGACAATAATGGCTCCTGTCTACTGTGTGCAAAGTGTTTCCCGCTCTTACCACACAGCACCTTCTTTAACCCCTGAGTAGGAATTCTGCTTACTCTCATTTCACAGGCTAGGAAACTTTGGCATGCAGAGGTTAAGTAACTTGTGCAAGGCCACATAGAAGTCTGACTTCAGACTCTGAGCTTTCACCACAGTATTAACCCACAGTGTTGAGGGTAAATGAGGGTAGGGAATGATGTTTTTTTTAATTATATGATGAACGTGGATTTGATTAGCATTCTGGTTCTGTTTGATTGCTTGCTTTTCTTCTCACTCCTGGTTTTACATGCCATTATCTTGCCCTAGCCCTGTAGTCAGGTGCTGTTTGGCTCTCAGCCAGGGACCCTTCATGAGTCAGAATAATTGACTATGGCCTAGTGTCTGTAAATTGATCTCCCGACACAGGTAGGGAGTTAACAATCACAAACTTGTGAGAATTCAGGAGACCGGGGAAAGAGACAGAACGCTGCCATTTGTCTTTTCCAATACTTGATCTTGTTTATGAGTCCAAGTTTCTATACCTGTTTTCTTGGTTTTTGTTGCTGTTGTTTTTGTTTGTGAGACTAGGTTTATCTATGTAGGCCAGGCTGGCCTTGAACTCTCAGAGATCCATCCGCCTCTGCCTCCCAAACACTGGGAATAAAGGCATGAGCCACCATGCCCGACATTTCTATGCCTTTTTATAAAGGCTAGAATACCCAGAATGCCCTGCAGACCGCAGGTAAAAAGGTAAGACTAGAAGGAAGCCCCACAGATGTCTGGCTATGTCTGAGGCTGCTGGTGAGAGTTAAACAAACTGCATGTCTTTTCAGAGCTTTTCCTCTTTCTGTCATCAAAATGGAAGGATCCCAAACTTCCCTGCTCGCTTATGCTCACATTCTGAGGTGGCGTGAGAAGCTTTAGGCTGTTCAGCTGGAAGGCATAGTTTAGGTGGAAGTCTGCTTTTCTAAAAGAACATTTCCCCCTTGCAAATCCTGAATCTCACTGCACATACTGTGGGCATGTTGCGTAGGAGCATTCATTTCCATCTCAAATTCCTGTCTTGCTGGAGCCAGTCTTTGTTGTCTGTCCCAGAGCTCTGTGCCCAGGATGTCCACATCCATTTTTGTGATATGCACATGGATGAAACAGAACAATGGTGGACAGCCTGCTGCAGACAGAGTGCTGTGCTATCTCTGAGCTCTGTAGGAAGGGAGACCAGGGATTATTCCTTAAGAATGGGTTTCTGAGCTGGGCAAGGTGGATGGATGCCTGTAATTCTGGCACTTCAGAGGAAGAAGCAGAGGCAGACAGATGTCTGTGAGTTTGAGTTTCTGGGCTTTGGATCCATGATGCCTACTATAGAACACTGACATGGTCTCAACACATGGGTACACACTGGCAGGGGCTCAAAACTGCTGCTACCATATAGGGCCTGGATGACAGGTCCTGAGGCCGCTGCTGTCGAGTTGCATGACGGGCAACTTACTTTTTCTCTTTTCCTCTCAGTCTCTTCATATGGGTATGAAGAATCATGAAGGTTAGGCTTTACAGAGCTCTGTGTGATATGTTAGACATGATAGTTAGATCTGAAGCATTTGGAATTTCACCTGGCACACAGAAAACAACTCAATCAATTTTAGCTTCTAATATCACTCTGCTTTTCCAACAGGATGGGTAGGAGAGGGAATTCCTGCCCCCTTGCTATTGCCTAGTGTTGATGTTCAGTCCTTCAGGTCGATTCCTCTTCCCTTAACCCTCCCTACTGAACTTCTCTCTGCCAACAGCTTGACAGTTGTTGACTCAGATGGGGCTACCAACTCCACCACTGCAAGCCTGACAGTGAACAAGGCTGTGGACTACCCTCCTGTGGCCAATGCAGGCCCCAACCAAGTGATCACCCTGCCCCAGAACTCCATAGCCCTCTTTGGGAACCAGAGTACTGACGATCATGGCATCACCAGCTATGAGTGGTCACTTAGCCCAAGCAGCAAAGGAAAGGTGGTCGAGATGCAGGTAGGAGGGAGTCCTTATGTCTTCTCTCACTCAGGGGACATGCAGTTACTGGATTGGGTCATCTACTCAAGGATTATTTCTGCCCCATTTTATGACCAAAGGCAGGGTTGTTCATTTAGAATTTTTTTTTTTAATTTCCCATACAAATTCAGAAAGTTGCTGGTTAGTGGTGGCTCTTTAATCCCAGCACTTAGGAGGCAGAGGCAGGTGGATCTCTGTGTCTCTATGAGTTCAAGGCCAGCCTAATCTATAGAGCGAGTTCCAGGACAGCCAGGGCTACACAGAGAAACCTAGTCTCAAAACAAAACAAAGAGAGTTTTATGGGCCTCTGATTAACAGATTATCTGAAACTTTTAGTATTAGGAGGCTAGGGTAAGAAATGTGTCAGTTAAGGGTGACCCAACCCAGAGAGTCAAACTACACAGATGGCACAGAGTGCAAATCTTTGTAAGCTCATTGGAGTAGATCATCTGGCTACAAGATGCCTTCCCCAGATGTCTGGCAAGAATAGACAGGGCACTTCAAGAAGTAGAGTGATCTGGGCAGGGCTGTGGGGAGTAGGGACCCTTTTCCTCCTGGGTCCTGCTGGCTGCTGTCACATGGCGATATGGCCTTAGTGTTGTTTGACAATTCTGCTGACCAAGAGCAGACAGAATGAGACTTTTGGGTGGAATTTTCCAACTATAGTGTAATAGTGTTCAGCACTATAGGTAAAACAGAATAGAATGCCTGCAAGCAGGACTCAGCCCTCGGCTGCCTGGTTTTGCTGTTACTCTATCAAAAGCACCTGCATTGTAGGTTTGCCTACAATTATTTATAACGCTCCCTCTGATCTACAGGAAGAGTTCCGTATCTCCAGGTTTCTAGAGGCATGACCCAAGGCATGTTTGACCTGGCTTTAGTTGAGGTATTGTGATAGGTTTCTCTGAAGCCACAGAATCTATAGAAATTCTTATTAGTACACTGTCTCATGCTGTCCTGCCAACGGTCACTCATTGTGCTGAGCTGGAACATAACGACCCAGGACCAAGTTCAGTTTAAAGAGCTGGCTGAACCGTTTTTGCCTGAGTGAGCATTGTGAGCAGGGCTGTGATCCTGGGAGTCATTTCCTATGCCTGAATGTCTGCATGTAGGGAGTTAGAACGCCAACCCTGCAGCTGTCTGCAATGCAAGAAGGAGACTATACCTATCAGCTCACCGTGACTGACACCACAGGACAGCAGGCCACTGCTCAAGTGACTGTGATTGTGCAGCCTGGTAAGCTCCTCCTCGGGGTCCCCTTGGTGCTGGGGCAAGAAGGGTTGGAGTTCTGAGCTGCAGGGGCAGAGAGGTAGAGGGTATCACCCCACGGAGCCTGAGTCCCACAGCTTTCAAGAGCTATGCCTTGCTCTTCTCCCTTCAGTGTGTGCCCTTCCTTTTCTTGCTAGTAGTTACTTGTGATGGTGAAGGCGGCCACTGTATCACACACTGCTTGATCTTAAAGGGCTGGTGGAAAGCCCACGTGTCTGGAAAGCTGTGTCTCCTCTTCTTACCCTATTGGTTAGGTTTCAGAGCTAGTATGCTGCTAGAACTTCACTGTTTTCAGGATTGTTTGACATAATTCAGTCTCATTCTTCACTGAGTCCCCTGATAGCATTGGTCTTTCACCCACATATCTTGTATTGCTCTGGGCTAAGAGATGGGGTTCCCCTGGCTACCAGAACAGATGCCCCAATGGGTCCTCTCCTCTACCACCTGGAGTGTTGCTTTTGATGGCTGCATATCTTTGTTCTAGAGAACAACAAGCCTCCTCAGGCAGATGCAGGCCCAGACAAAGAGCTGACCCTGCCCGTGGACAGTACAACCTTGGATGGCAGCAAGAGTACAGATGACCAAAGAATCGTCTCCTATCTTTGGGAGCAGACCCAGTGAGTGTTGGTGTAGGCCCCATCTGTGCAGAGGTGCCAGTCCCTGGAACATCAAGCTTTTACTTGCTTTAAGACTTGACTCCTTCCTACTAGTTTATCCAGGAGAGTGAGAAAGCAGTTTTTATAATCCTAAGTTTTAAATCTTAAGAAAGATTTTCTTTTTTAAAGAAAGAATATATATTATCAGTTAGGCCCAGGTAGTACTGTGTGATTCTGGGGCTTTGTAGGTACAATTTATCTGCTAAATGTGTAATTGAATTACACTTGAGAGGCAGGCTGGAAGAGGTAATGGAGCAGAAAAATACTGTTGTTTAAAATTAACTAGTAAGGTTAGCTGAGGGGTGGGCAAGCAGCTACTGAGAGGAATTTAAATTCATCGTAAAGCAAAAGCATGCCTATGTTACTGCTCCTAGAAGACATTGTTTCTCAGTTAAGTTAGCCAAAGATCAAAGACTGCAGCCAAGATGATACTTTTCAAATTGAGATTACCTATTTGAGCCATCTGTTCCTGTTTGTACAATTTCTTTCAGCTCTTATGAACCATAGCAAATGGAACTTAAATTGTATACAGGATTCTGCACAAAGTGAAGGAATTCTAGGGAAGTTGAAAACATTCTATATCTCTAAAAACTGCAGCCACAAAGACAGGCTGGGGTTTAGTCTTAACGTACACACACACACACACACACACACACACACACACACACACACACATCCATATACACACGGATATCTTCTTCCAGCATTGGAGATGGGTGGGAAAGGGTTTTAATTTCTACTTAGGAAGTTCATGTTAGGCCTCAGACAGCCTTCTCCTCAGCTGCTGTGGAGAGCTGGGTCTCCCTTAGCTCTGTGTGTTGTTCCTGTAACTGTTTATTGAAGGCAGACCTGATGAACCCTCAAGCAGAGGGCTGGTGGTGCTGCAGTGTAGCTAGTACTTGTGGAGCTGCTTGGGTAAGACAGGCCACTGGGGTCAGAGGTAATAAGTTTCAAAAGCAGAGCTGGGAGCTGGCAGCCTTCTCTGGTTGTCCTCAGTTGGAAGGATGCGTGGGTGCAGGGCTCAGGCTGTGTGCAACCCTTGCCTGTGTGCTGGCCACGAGCCTCCTGCAGACTGCTGTGCTGAGATGCAGTGGGAAGGAGGCAGGATGTGGTGTCCTGGTGTTCCGTCCAGGAGCTAGAGGAGACTCTTCTAGAAACAGGAGAAGAGGGCTTTATCCCAAGAGCCCCTCTGCAGTCTTGGCCTGCATCCTTCCTTTGACTTTTCATCACGGTGGGTCAGGGAAGGGTTCAAGAGTTTGGATAAGAAGTGTATTTTGCTTCTTTGCTGGCAAGAGCAAACCAAGAAATGGACCAGAAATGCTTTTCAGAAACCTCATCCTTAGATCATCCTATCGATCACAGAGCTACTCAGAGAGCTTTATTTCTTATATAAACTAGAATAATGAAGAATTTTCATGTTGTAGAAGCACATGTAAAAGATAAGCCTGTGTTTAAAAGCTGATGAACGGAATTTTTTCACTAGAAGTAGCCTGTGTTTTGGGGCCAAGTGATGCTGTCTCCAAATAGAATAGTTTTTAACATTTTCTGTCAAGGTTTGGGAAACAATTGTTCCTGTCTTAGCTGAGGTAATAATTGCTCTTCCTTGCTGCCAGGAGAAGAGCAGACAGGTATGACTCCACCCTCTGATTACTGTCTTGTCTAGGGGTCCTGACGGGGTGCAGCTAGAGAATGCCAACAGCAGTGTCGCCACTGTGACTGGACTGCAAGTGGGGACCTATGTGTTCACCTTGACTGTCAAAGATGAAAGGAACCTACAGAGCCAGAGCTCTGTGAATGTCATTGTCAAAGAAGGTGGGTCTTGTTGTGGGCATGTGCAGCAGCCTCGCTGGGTCTGATAGCCCAGGAATCTGCCATGTCTCATTTGGTGCAGGATTGATTAGAGATAAGGAAACAGGCTAGGGGTAAAGCGCTGCAATTTTCTAAACATCTTTGAGAGGAGCTGTAAGGTGATTTTTAAACCCTCTTTCCCGCTCCACTCCCTCCCTCCACATCCTCCTGCTTCCTTCCTGTTCCTTCTTCTCAAATGACTAGTGAAAGTACTAAAGGATTTGTTTTCTTAGCATTTTGATTTTGCCTGTGTGCTAAGACCTGGGGCTTCTGTGACTCTCCGATAGCTACAGTGACACCTGCCGGCAGGTGCTGGGATGGCAGCTGCACTGCAGCTTCCTGGCTGACATCCTCCTTGTCCTGTTGGCCTCACAGGGATTGGGGAGGACTTGGGAGAGGCCGTGGACTGGTGGTAGAAAGCCCACCATATCAGTGGGTTACATACAGTGTTGTGATGATTAAACTAAGGTAACTCCTGGCAAGCTGTTCTATGACACAGAGTCTATGGGGCCTCAGCTCAGCGGGGTCATACTCTTCCTTCCCTTGAGAATTCCGGGGTAAGAAGACACCCTGAGAGCAACATTTAAAGGGAGGAGTTATGGTGGCAACTGGCCAAACCCAAGCTTCCAGCTTGGAGTGCCCTGGCTTCATTTCTACTCACTAAATCCCTGTAAAGCAGAGCCACAGGAGGAGAGCATACTGTCCCCTCTGTGACAGCACGAGAGCCCTGAAGCCTCAGGGGTCTAGTGGCTTTTGGGCGAACACTAAACAGCTCTCTGTTTAAGGTGCCCCCAGTGCTGAGTCCCACATAAGCCTCACAAGTGGCATCTTGCTTTCCCAGAATGTCATGTTATTTCATTGCTGTCTCTTTGGTTAGAAATAAACAAACCACCAGTAGCCAAGATTGCTGGGAATGTGGTGGTCACCTTGCCCACGAGCACAGCAGAACTGGATGGCTCCCGGTCCTCTGACGACAAGGGGATAGTCAGCTACCTGTGGACTCGAGATGAGGGGAGCCCAGCTGCAGGGGTGAGTGGGCCAGGAGCGACAGCGCTATGTAAAGTCAACGTAGGGGGTAGGTGAAGAGGGGGCTCCTGCCCTCCAGGACCTATTTTAACCGTGCAGCCCCTATATCAAGCCTAGATTGTTCTCTGGAATCAGGGATGTCAAATGCCTTCCAGTGGGCCAACTCTAAACTGGTGTGTTCAGGGGCTTCCCTCTCCTGACCCTAGAAGCCATGGAGGGCGGTGCTGTGACTGGTCCACCAGCAAAGCTGTGTGACTCAAGCAGTAGCTTGCTCCAAGAAAGGAGTGGCATTCTGTCCTAGAGCACAGCCATGTTGTTGCCCCACAGGAGGTGCTGAATCACTCTGACCATCACCCTGTCCTCTTCCTTTCCAACCTGGTCGAGGGAACCTATACGTTTCATCTGAAAGTGACTGATGCGAAGGGTGAGAGCGACACAGACCGGACCACTGTGGAAGTGAAACCTGGTGAGCTCACTGACCCAGCTCAGCCTCCACCCCCCCCCCCCCCCCCCCCCCCCAACACACACACAGCAGGTCTAGCCTTTACTGCCTGTACCCTCCCACACAGCCAGCAGCACAGACCTCCCCTACTCAGCGCATGCAGACAGCTGGCCTCAGAGAGGGCAGGCCTGCTCAGCCATCCAGTAGTTGTGTCAGATAGAGCTTTGTGCCCCAGCTCAGTACCTTCTGCACACGACTGAGGAGAACATTCAGGGTTCCTGGGAATTCGAGCTCAGGAATAGCTTGAGTCATGGTGTGTCACCAGCATGTAAATGCAGAAAACAATGTGTTTTTATAAGCTGAGCCTCAGGCTTTATCTGACACTCCAGGGAAGGTGGATTGATGTCCTGCACGCTTTTCAAGTTTTCAGAAATGAATGCCATCCTTAAACAGAAGTTTGGTTTTGTGATAGGGAAGAATGGCAGTGGACAGGGCTGATGGCTCCTAGCAGAAACATCAGCTCTTTCCTTAGGCCAGCCCCAGGCATGAGAAGGGTCCATCTAGGGAAGGGTCCTCGGAAGACTTTCAGATCTTACTTTGCCTCTAAAAAGGACACTGGCTAAGAAGAATAGTGTCTCATCTGTGTTCAAAATCAGGCTACAGGCTCTTCCATCCAACTCTGCAGGCAAGGTGTTCTGAGCCACCCCTGGTTGCTTAGGCTGTGGCTAGCAAGCATGACCACATCCAGGCTCTAGAGGTGAACACCGTGGTGTTGAGGTCATTCCTTGGCTACCTGGACTTTCCCTGTGTTTGCTGCATCCACACCACTGTTAAGATAACTGAAATACAACATATTACTCCTGAAAGTGGGGACAGGGGAGACTGCTGACACATGGTAGGCTGGAGAGTTCAGCTGTGCCTGTCATACAGGGTTTGGGAAACAAAGGCCTCGTCTTATGTCCCGTGTCCCTCCATGAAGCCTGGTGCCTCACCCGGGCACTTGTGTGGCAGTTCTTAGGGTACTGGAAAGCCTTCCAAGCCAGCTCCTGACGGATTTGCTAGGAGCACGCTTCTCTTCTTTCCCACCCAAAGGACATCTAACTGCTGTCACCACTTTCCCTTCTATGCCAAAGCAAACACAGTGACAGCCCTGTTTTAACAGTTTGAAGCCATGACTGATCCTTGTGCTTTCCAGATCCCAGGAAAAGCAACCTGGTGGAGATCATTTTGGATGTTAACGTCAGTCAGCTGACAGAGAGGCTGAAGGGGATGTTCATCCGCCAGATTGGGGTCCTCCTGGGGGTGCTGGATTCTGACATCATTGTACAAAAGATTCAGCCATACACGGAGCAAAGGTAGCTGGACAATGAATTCGGGAAGAAAAGGAAAGCGTGGGGCTCCCCAGGCTGAGCAGTAGTGATGCTAGATGGAGAAGGGAGTGCTTTGACCAGGAACCGCTTGGAGTATATCTTGCCAGTCAGGCCTCAGCCCTGTGCTAGACCCTCAGATAGGCTCTGAGAACAGGTTTGTAAGCTGTAGTCTGAGATGGAGGTAACTATGTTTATGCCCTTACTGTAGAGCAGGGGCCACTGCATGGCCTTCAGCAAACAGCCAGGCCAGTTAGTTCTCCCAAGAGAGCTGGAGGAGAGGGTAGCCCAAAGATGTTCCAGAAATAAAGGTTGCCTTGCCCAGCATATGAGAATTAAAAGATTAAAAAGGGAGCAGCGTGAGTGGTGGGTCCAGGGTGGGATATGCAGGCTTCTTCTGGAAGGCATTTGGTTCAGTGTTCGTAGACACGGGATGTGGTCAAACGTAAGGCCAGTGGAGATTGAGAGACTTGCATACAAAGGAACGCAAGTTAGTTTGTTTTAAAAGCAAAGAAACGCCATGTTTAGATTTTTCTTCAAGGAGATGGGTAGTGTGTAGGCTAAAAGGAGTTAGGGTGGAGCAGTTGGGAGCTTCTGAGCTTGTCCAGCAACAAGGGGAGAGCCCTTACTTAAGGTAGTGGTGAGAAGCAATGAAAAGGAGCTGGGTAGGGAGCCAAGTGCTGTGCCCTAATCAGCAGCTTTGGAAATGAAGGTGAGGGAGGCTGGACAAGTGAGTCAGTCTTCGAACTAAGATTAGGGAAGAAGCAGGAACTCACTTGATTATTGAATTTGGGTAACTTTTCCCTCATGAAGCCCAGGGTGGCTTTGAACCCATGAACCTCCTGCCAGCAGATCTGAGAGACAGAATTAAAGTTGGAAACCTGGGGATACAGGGTGGAAAAAAACACCAAAGAGCAGGTGTCAAAGCCAAAATGGTGGATGAATGACACTGGGACATGTCAAAGTGGTTGGGTGATGATAGAACTCTGGAGACACAACATTTAAGGGGAAAACAAAGAAGTGGCAAGCCCTGAAAGAGCCGCAGGATCACAGGAGGGTGGCTGACCTGTGGGGTCAGCCCAAGGAGTGTGCTCTGCAGATTGCCAAAATGGCAGGACAGTGTTACCGTCTTGAGTACATGGAAGTAATATATAGACATAGACGCTGCGGCAGAGAAATGGCTCAGTGGTTAACAGCACTGGCTGCTCTTCTACAGGACTGTGGTTCAATTCCCAACTCACTGGAACTGTCTTTAACTCCAGTTCCAGGGGATCCGACACCCTTGAACAAACATATACACATCATGAAAAACACTGGTGCTGAAAGGAAGGTGGAGATTAGATACAGATTTTGTTTGTTTCCAAGAGAGGGCTTCTCTGTGTGTCCCTGGATGTCCTTGAACTCACTCTGTAGACCAGCCTGGCCTCGAACTTACAGAGATTCTCCTGTGTCTGCCTCCCAAGTGCTGAAGCCACCACTGGCTCCAATGCACCTTTTAAACGGAGGCCACCTCTCAGCCTTTTTGTTGCCTGAGGTAAAGTGTCAGTCTAGGGAACTGGATGCAGGAGAAATGGGGGACGCAGACAGCATTAGTGGTACTGGATCCTGTTGTGTCTGTGTGAGGGGAATAAGGCGACACATCCTGAGGTTGGAAGCAAAGGTGAGAGATGACAGTTGGGAGCAGCTCCAGGGAGGGACACTGACCCTGCGCAGCACTGGAGTCAGAGCTAAGGTTGAGGCATCAGAAGCAAGAAGTCACTCCAACTTCACGACAGCCACCTGGAGTTTTATGAGCACACTGTGGGCCTCATCCAAAGAGACTGTGACTCAGGTAGAATAGGACTGGACCTCTGTCTGCAGTGCACAGCCTTTCAGTGAATCTCCTACACAGCTGATTGGGTCAGTGACACGATTAGGACACTTTTCTAATTTTTCATACATATGCATGTGTCTGTGAGTGCAGGTGCCTGTGGAGGCCAGAGGTATCAAATCTCCCTGGAGCTGGAGTTAGTCAGTAGTAAGCCACCTCCCATAGGTGCTGGGAATCGAACTCCTCTTTAAGAGCCATGCATGTTCTTAACCACTGAGCCATCTTTCCAGCCTCATTACTCTTTTCTTTAAAAAATAAAATAAAATAAAAACAACAACACAAGAAACTCACCACCACACCACCAACAATGCTCAGTGGCTGGGGAATAGAATAGGGCAAACAGCTTCCTAAGTTGTTGGGAATTGGTTGGGGAGCAGTGGCCACGCCATCACTGCCAGTGGGCATAAAGAAGAGGAGCACCTGGCTTGTCCTTGGCTTTGGTTGTAACCAGGGCATAGGAGAGGATTTCAGGAGGGGCTCCTTCTTTGAGAAGATGTACACTGCAGAGAGAAAGCAGGACCTTCCACACCGGTAGATGTCCGGGGAAGTGTGGGAACTGCGTATTGCCTGTGAAAACTCTAGTACTTATTTTATAGCATTGGTTTTGAGGGTTAAATGTGACAGTGTGGGCCCAAGACATGGCTCAGTAAGCAAGGAGATTGCTGCCAAGCCTGGTGACCTGAGTTCAATCCCTGGGACTCACATGGTGGAAGTCTTCAACAAGTTACCCTTTGAGCTCCACACGCATTCACATACAAACAAGTATAGTAACAAATTTGTGTAGATCTGTAACATGTAATGCTTGACCAGCAACTTTTTTGTTTGTTTGTTTTGAGACAGGGTCTCACTATGTAGCCCCTGCTGACCTGTAATATGCTGTGTAGACTAGAACCTACAGAGGTCCACCTGCCTCAGCTTCAAATACTAGGATTAAAGATGCACGTCTGATCAGTGGTTATTACCAGAAGTTTATTTTGAGACATGCTTGCTTGTAGCATCTCTGAAAGATCTGGGTTCTTTGGTTTTGGCATGTTTTTTTGCTGATGTGAATTAGTTGAGATTGCTCCTGTGGGAGAGGAGGTAAAAATGTGAGGGCTAAACTGGGCACATGCTTTTAATCCCAGCACTCAGGACTGTCAGAGGCAGGCAGATCGCTGTGAGTTTGAGGTCAGCCTGGTCTATAAATCGAGTCCAGGACAGCCAAGGCTATGCAGAGAAACCCTATCTTGAAGAACAAAAAAGATGTGAGGGCTACTGGTAAAGGCAGAAAAAAAGAGTTGTACCCATGGATTACAGAAGGAAATGGTAAGAAATGAACCCTGTCTTTATAGTAAAGGCAGTGTCTTAGGTCTGGAGTTTGCAGGACCTCATTGTTAGCTTCACTTTGTAGTGAGCTTTTAGTCAATGACAATACAGCCCGAACTGTATGTCATGTCATACATGGAAGGTGCTGCTATACTTTAGGATAGCTTCTCCTCGAAGCAGCTGGTCCAGGGCCTCTGGGATACTTGGGGCTTCTCAGCTGCCCTGCACGCTAAGAGGTCTTGGGAGTACCTATAATCCATGTGGCACACTGACTGGGAAGGTTTGCTTTGTGCCGCTAAGGGGTAGGCCATCAGAGACTGAGGTTAAGACATAGGGAACAAATGTGAGTTCAAACAACAGGCAGAAAAGCAAACATTCTGGGTTCAGAGTGATGTCATTTCAAACCAGCAACCCCACTATGTAGGGCCTGTCTTATTGCTGTCACAGTAACAGTTGTTTGGCTTATGGATAATCTTTCTAGCAGTTTGTATTTATACAGCACTGTGGTGTGCTTGACAAGTAACCTGGGTACAAACCCAGTTGCGTTGCTGTCCTAGCTAGCAAAGGCTGGTAGAAGGAGTAGAACCACAGCCCCAACTCCTGTTCTCTCCTTCCTGCTCATGTAAGCTTTAGGGGCTTACAGAGTGGGGATCTGGCTCTGCCATAACTGTGTGGCCTGGGGCAAATCAGTGAGCTCCCCTGGGCCTCAGTGTTGTCCTCTGTAAAATGAAGGTGGCCCTGAAGCACCTGTCTCACTGGCCTGCTGTGACAGTGCATGCCACCACAGGCTGAGCACTGTCTGTCACAGACACAAGGTGCTTTTAGATGCCTCAGTGGCTGCCATGGACCACTTCAGCACATTCACACTGTTGTCTGTCTCTGCAGCACCAAGATGTTATTTTTTGTTCAGAATGAGCCTCCCCACCAGCTCTTCAAAGGCCATGAGGTAGCAGCCATGCTCAAGAGTGAGCTGCGGAAGCAGAAGGCTGACTTCCTGATATTCCGAGCCCTGGAAATCAACACAGTCAGTAAGTCATGGGAAGCTGAGAGTCAAGGCCTCTTGCAAACATTCACCTGGGATCTTGTACCCCAAGGTCCACAGGCTCCTGACAGTAATCAGGGGAACCATGAGCCTGAATAAAAAAATAATTTTATCTTTATTTTGCCTCTAATTCAATCATCACCCTCACCCTTGAAGGCATGCAGTATTAACAGCTGTGACTCTGAGGCCAAAGAGCTGATAGTTGTCATTGTACCGCATGGCAACCGCATTTGCATTCAGCAGTGCTTCAGAATTAGCTGTTGTTGGACCCCCCCCACAGAATCTCTTCCCTAATGTTCTAATAGATGCATATCTAGTTTAGAAAACTGAGATTCTAAAATTTTTCAGAATTAGTCTGGTAATACTTTATATATTGTTTCTGGAGTTACATTACTCTGTTGAGGAGTAATGCAGAATTGAGGGTTACTGGTACAGACAGCAAAGGAAGCTGTCTTGTGCCTGCCTGTCCCATGAAGCCAACATGAGATATGGGGATTTGGGTTTTCATGAGCCCTGGAAGCTGGTTGTCCTTCTGGCTCTCTCTAACTTTTACCTCTTTTCTGCTATCTTCAGCTTGTCAGCTGAACTGTTCTGACCATGGTCACTGTGACTCATTCACCAAGCGCTGTGTCTGTGACCCATTTTGGATGGAGAATTTCATCAAGGTGCAGCTGAGGGATGGAGACAGCAACTGTGGTGAGTGTGGCTCTGTGCCAGCCAGCTTGGCTGCAGTGTGGCACTGTGCTGCGGTGGCAGGTGTTGATGTTCGAGGCAGATGAGCAGGCAGTAGAACGCTGTATTTTCTGTTTGCAGAGGACTCTTCCTCCCTTCCTCCACACTTGCTGCATGTTAGCTCTGAGAGGTTTCTGGAGCATTCAGAGCAGCTGCATACTATGGTCTGAATCCCATGTGCTGCCAGGCGGGCCTCTTGTCTTTGTGGAGCGCCTGAATGCTGTGGCCTCATGGAAACCACATTCCCTGACCTTACAGTGCATGTCTTTAATCCCAGAACTTGAAAGGCAGAGGTAGGCAGATCTCCTAAGTTCAAGGTCAGCCTGGTCTACAGAGCCAGTTCCAGGACAAGCAGGGCTACACAGAGTCCCTGTCTCGAGAAACCAAACCAAACCAAACCTTACATCCCTTGCATACTTTGAAGTGCCCGGAGCACTGCTGGAGCAGGGCTTGGGACACAGCAGCATTTTAAAAGCTTGCAAGCTTCCACTCACCCTACCCAGGGAGCCAGGCACATTGCTGCCCATTTTGAAGCCACCTTGTGTCTGAGGTGGGGTAGCCTCTCACGAACCCTCCACCACTTTGATTTCTTTGCAGAATGGAGCGTGCTATATGTTATCATTGCTACCTTTGTCATTGTTGTCGCTTTGGGAATCCTGTCGTGGACTGCAATCTGCTGTTGTAAGAGGTGAGATGATAGGGTGGTGGCAAGTGTGGGGAGAGGTAAGATGAATTCTCCTTTGAAGTCCCTTTGGCTTCATGCCACAGAGCTTTTCTGTGAGGAGGTATCTGATACCTTCTTTGGAAGATTGCACTTGACCCCCAGTCACTTTGGTGGGAGTTTGAGCACCCAAGGCCTGTGGCAGAAAATCTCATTACTCACTCCTGAGGCGCAGAAGCCCTCATTTAAGGCGTGTCACTGTAGAGATTTGCAAGGTGGAGACCCTGGTAGGGGTGTGGCTGGGTGCATTCCTCACACCTGGACATAGGACTATTTCACAAACTTACAGCCTTCAATTCATAACTGGTTGTTCTAGTTTGTTTCTTTGTTTTTATTGAGACAGCCTAACTAGCTGTACTTACTCTTCTGTTACATTTATTTCATGTTTTTCAGTGTTAAACATGATTTCAAGAAAGGGGCATAGCTCAGTGGTAGAACCTCCCTGACATATACACAAGACTTCTGCATGTGGTGCTGGTGACTGAGCCAAAAGTATGGTCTTTGTGGATCATCGCCTTCAGAGAGCATTTTCTCTTTTATACCTCCGACAGCCTTATCCCAGTTTATAGATGAGGAAACTCAGGCTCAGTAGAATTATATCACCTGTCTGAGAGCAGTTTGAGACAGGGCTGCGATGGAGCCTGACATAGGACCTCATTTAAAACTTAGAAAAGTGGAATAAAAAAAAAAAAAAATCCTTGCCAAGCTGGGTGTGGTTGTGCACACCTGTAAACCCAGCACTTGGGGAGACAGAGGCAGGTGGATCTCTGTGAGTTCAAGGCCAGCCTGATCTACAAAGCAAGTCCAGGACAGCCAAGCTACACAGAGAAATTCTGGCTCGAACTTCCCTCCCCGCAAAAAATTCCTCCACAGCCACAGAAAACCTATCAGCAGCTCCGTGTTTCACTGCCCCTCCCTCATGCCCTCCAGCCAAGCTTTTATCTTCCCACCTGCTCTGGCCGAGAAGTAAGGAGAGGCCCCTGTGTACCAGGCAGGCCCTGCACTCCAGAGCCTCACAAACCTTCCTGAGCAGAGACGGGGGTTGTGTTTTTTAGGCAAAAAGGAAAACCCAAGAGGAAAAGCAGATACAAGATCCTGGATGCCACAGATCAGGAAAGCCTGGAGCTGAAGCCAACCTCCCGAGCAGGTAGGGCTCTGGAGCTGGTACTGAGGGGCCAGACTAAGTGCTCAGTCCCCTTGCTCCTTTCACCTCCATGCTCATTCGTCTGTCCATGTCAGGTTTGCTTCTTGCTTGGTGATCCTGTGGTCACTGTCAGGGGCTTCAGTTTCTTGAGTCTGAGCAGTCTGACCAGCTTATAACCTACTTTTCCTCTAACCTTCTACTCCATCCCTGTCATTAGGCAGATCCCCAGCTGCCGTCCATCAGTCTTGGCACAGCTGCTTTCCTGCTGCCTGCAGGTGTGCTGGGCTGTCAGGGGCACCACCAGGGCTCCTGACACAAGCCCTTCCAGGACTGAGCAGTGGGAGCAGAAGAGTTAGGGTGTGTCATGGGCCTTCCTCCCCTTCTGGGTTCCCTCATGGTAAGGCCATAGACAAGTCATCCATTGCCTTAAAGTCAACTTAAAGGTTTGTGTTAGGGGAGGCTGTGGGAGACACAGGCTCAAGACCCCCTGCTTTCAGAGAACTGCTGTCCAGCAGGGGAGAAGACACGGCTACAGAGAACAAGTGTTCACAAGCAGCTGGGCTCTGCACCTAGGCAGCTCCATTGTCAGCTGGGCCTGAAATGAGCCCAGGATACCAGAACCCTCCACAAGAACAAATAATGTGTGCAACTAGCTCCCGTGGAGTAGCCAGCGAGGCCCCCATCACTTTACCTTGACCATATTTCTTCATCATGCTTTTCTTGGCCTGGTTGTGTGGCCACTGTGAGCTTGCTGTGTCTGCTTTCAGGGAGCAATCTTGTTCATCTCCACTCTTTTCTGATGAGGTTCTGCTGTTCTTATGTTCAGAAAGTTTTTTCTCATCCCTGTTTAGTCTCCCAAAATCATGCTCACAGCTGTATAGAATGATTATGAAAGTCTTAATAAAGAGTATACATAAGACCCGAGATGCTCAGCAGGTAAAGGCACTTGCCACCAAGTTTGACAACCCAAGTTCAAGCTGTAGGACCCACACAGTGGAAGCAGCAAACACATAGCACATACAAACACATACATACATGCACACAGACACACACACACATACAGACAGCACACACACAAACATAGCATACAAACACACACACAACACACACACTCCAAGCAGGGAAGGAAGGGAGGCACAGACAGGGAGGAAAGGAGAGGGACAGTTTAAAGAATTAAGAGTGACAGTTAAGCTAGGAAGGATAAGCATCAGCAGATGAGTCAACATTTCAGACACAGGCAATATGGTGAGGCCCCACTGCTGAGAGGAGCAGAAGGCATTTGGGTAGGTGGGCAAAAACTATGTACGCTGGGCAAGTGAGCCAAAATGAGGGACCCAGGCTGGATGGGTGAGCAGGTCTTTGCTGAGGTTCCCTCTGAGAGCAGTGGGTGCTCTAAGGGGTTTAGGGCTGAGCATCTGTGGTACTAAGATGCCAGCAGTACAGTGACAACATAAAGCAGGCTGAAAGGAAGCATTTCCCAATGGTCTGAGGAGGTAGTGACAGTGCGCAGAGGAGCAGACAAGGTCAAGGCTGATTCCCACCTAGCTGCTGACAGAACCAGGACAGCTGCTACACTGTTCTGGGAGAGAACTAAATTGAACCCAGCAGAATGGTCAGTACTGAAAGATGGGATTCTACTTGCCAGTGAGGATCAGCATCTCAAAATTGGGTCACGGCTCTGAAGAGAGTCCCTGACACCCAGGATGGCCTGCAGAGGAAGGATCCTGCAGAGTAGGGGTCATCATAAAAGAATCACAACTCAAGATGCCAACAGAGACCCTAGGAGACACCTGCAGAGCTGGCACAATGGTGGATGCCTATAGCGGTAGGGGGTGAGGAAACATAAGCCCTATGGATTTCAAAGCCTTTTCAAAATGGAGTTACAAAGATAACCTGAGAAGCTGGACAGAGGGCCGGGACTCATGCCCAGTCTGCATGCAGAGGCAGAGGAGGGAAGGGGAGGGGCTACACTAGGCAGGGCAGAGCCCAGGAGTGTGACAACAGCAGGCCGAGAGATCTGCTTTTTTGTTCTTCTGTTATGGTAGATTGAACCAAATGAAATTACTTTTTACCACCCACAAAAGCCACTCTTGGTGGCTCAAACTAATTCATCAGAAACTTGTAAGTACAGCACGTTGAGTCGTTATAAGGGAGCACACCTAAAGCCCCTGGCCTCATCGTGCTACCATCCAGGCAGTGCCCATTCCTTACAGCAGTTCATCTGCACCCAGGCATTTACTGACAGGCATGTATTTATTGACCAGTTTCACCCATCAGTATAGAAAGACTGCTGTGGACACTCCTGTGTCTTTTGGTGGACACACAGGGATCTCTCTACTGGGTGCAACAAGAGAATTGCTGAGTCCCAGCGATGTGTGTTCAGTTTTCGCTGATGCTGTCCCCCACCTTTGTCATCTTTAGTGGGTGAGCAAGAGCTGTAGCAATCAGGTGCTGTGCAGCCATGAAACAATCTCTTTAAAGGCCTTTGTCCTGTTGGAAAGAAAGGAGGTGCCATGTGGCCACTAGAAAAAGAATGCTCCAAAGGTCTCCAGAGGAGGGGCTGGGGGGGGGGGGCTATCTATGGTGGGGAATGGGAGAAGCAGGGACTTTCCATGGGCCTTCCATTGGCCACTGTTCCCACCACACTGGAAGGCCCTTCAGTATCTCTGCTTTACTGGTGCCCTGGGGCTCTGGATGCAGTGTACACCCTGGAGTGGACAAAAGCGCGTAAGCCATGGCCCACTATGGCCAAACATATGTGGATGAGGCCCACAGCAGAGTGTGATCCGTGAGCACAGGTGCTCAGGGCCTGGACACTCAGCCTTGGGAGACCTGAGAGCACATCCAGCTCTCAAGCTGGCCACCATCCTCTCAAGATGCCGTTGTTTAGTAGGAGTGATGCATAGCCAGGTTGTAGACTGCCTGACTGAAGCACGACTCATCTGATAGTCCCCACTTTTAACAGGTGGAAAGCTAGTCCCTGTGGTTGGCCTGTGCTGGCCTGAGCTCCTCAGCTAATCCCACTTGCAACCATCACTCTTGTAGAATAAATAGTTCATTCCTGGAGCTCTAGGATGAGCTCATCCTAGGATGAGCTCTAGGATGTGGACATGATTGCCGTGGCCTTTAGAGTCTCAAGACAACTTGATCTGGGTTTTAAGATTCATTTTTGCTAGGTGATGGTGGTGCATACCTTCAATCTCAGCCCTCTGGAGCCAGATTCAGGTGATCTCTGAGTTCTAGGCCAAGCTGGCTTACAGAATGAATTCTAGGACAGCCAGGGCTACACAGAAAAACCCTTTCTCAAAAAAAAAAAAAAAAAAAAAAAAAAAAAAAAAAGTTTCTGTGTAAATGTGCATATCTGCACACATGACCATGGAGTCCAGAGAGGCTGCATCCTCTAGAGCTGTGGTTACAGGAGCCACCTGTTGTGGACACTGGAAGTTAAACTCGGGCCTCTGGAAGGGCAGCAACTGCTGCTTCTAACTGCTGAGCAATTCTGCAGTCCCAGGTGCTTCTTAGAGAACTTGGTTGGTGTGTTAATAAAATGGCTACTTGAGCCTGTCTCTGAATGAGTCTCATTCTCAGCCAGGTTTTCCCACTGTTGTTTTTAATTTTTTTAAGATTAATTTTTAAGATTTAATTTTTTTAATTAATTTAATGCATATTAGTGCTCTAAGAGGGCATTAGAGGGTATAGATGGTTGTAAGCCACCATGTGGTTGCTGGAAATTGAACTCAGGACCTCTGGAAGATCAGACAGTGCTCTTAACCACCGAGCCATTTCTCCAGCCCGTTTTTAAATGTTTAATTTTTGGTTATTTTCAGGGTTGTAGCAGGGGAGTCCAGGCTTTGCTCTCTGTGTCCTGCTGTAGCCAGGTGGAGATGAGGATGGGCTGTGAATTGGGCCTGGGAAGGTGTTTCCTGACATTGGGGTTGTCTTCTCGGCAGGCAGCAAACAGAAAGGTCCCATGCTGAGCAGCAGCCTAATGCACTCTGAGTCGGAACTGGACAGCGACGATGCCATCTTCACTTGGCCAGACCGGGAGAAGGGCAAACTCCTGCATGGTCAGAATGGATCTGTGCCAAACGGGCAAACACCACTGAAGACCAGGAGCCCACGGGAGGAGATCTTGTAGCCCGTTGGTCCGTCTTATTAGACTCATCAGAGTGCCAGGGCCCAGAGCACCTCTAGGCTGGTTCCTGACCTCCTAGGTCTGAGGACAGCTGCTCTCCCAGCATGTGCTGGTCACACCATCCCAACAGCCCCCATCAAAACTGCTGGTACTTGAATCCACAGACACTTTATAGGAACCCCTAAATGAAGCTGTGAATGAAGAGGTTTCCCTCTATAAACCAATGTGGTAGGCCCCCAACTGTCCTCATCTCAGGGCCTCACTTTTTGCACACCTCCCTGCCAGAGAGCAGACACAGCCCGCCCTTTGCCACCTCTCAGCAGTGCAGCTGGGCCAGAACACACATGGTGAGGCTTACTGTATCTTCCCTGTACCTGGCACAGGACTAAGAGCCGCCTGCTGTTAGGGGCCAAGCCCCGGGCATACAGTGTGTCCTGCCTCCCCAGGCCAAGAGAAATCTGCCCACCACGGATGCTGGCGTGGTAGTGCAGAAATGCTGCCTGACCCCTTGGCTCTAGAGCTGGCTTGTGTACTGACTGTATCAGGGATGTAGGGGACTGCTGGGGATGATCACCAGCACCTGCTTCCAGGCTCAGGCCACCCTCATTTTCCCAGAGGAGATAGCCACAGACAGACTGGAACTCTGTGGCCTGTGAGTGCATGTGTGTGACTGCCCCACTCTGGTCCCTTCCATGTCTCTCTATTCATGTCTTTTCTGTGTCCTTTGCACGTGTGAGTGCTTGAGTATATGTGCACCCATTCTTTTTAGGTCTTTTGGCTGCTCTCAAGGCAACTCTAACTTGGAGACTTTCAGCTCCTTGAAAGACTTTATCCCTCTGGCCCTGTCACCAGTTCCTCAGCCATGGTGTCTGGCAGTTGAGGAATCGGGGTTTTGGGAAGAGTGACTTTTTCAAAAGGACTTACAATTTCTACTACTGCACTACCTGTTGTGAGATAATTAAACATGCTATTTAATTGTGTGCCTGGCTACTAGGTTGTGCTGTTTCATGCTGCATCCATGACCTGCATTGAGGGCCTACCGTTGGTATAGACCTGTGAGGTTGTAGTCATGAAGGCTGCCTCAGTACACTGGCTAGCAGTTCAGGCCCCCAGCCTGCTATGGTACGTGGGCTTGTGCCACATGAGTGCTGGCTGGACAGAGATGCTCTTTGATTTTGACCTTTTGTTAAACAAAAATGACTTCTGTCCTCCTGTGACCAAGCTGAGGGGCACAGAGAATTGTCAAGGATGTCTTAAAAATCTGGGGGCAATGCCAGGTAGTGGTGGCGCACGCCTTTAATCCCAGCACTCTGCAGGCAGAGGCAGGTGGATATTTGTGAGTTCCAGGACAGCCAAGGCTGCACAGAGAAATCCTGTCTCAGAACACAAAACCAAAAACCAACAAAAAACTGGGGCAATAGTGTTCCTTTTTAGGTTCCCAGCATTTCAAGAACAGCAACATGAATGTACCCATTATCTCAGAGGCTGGGATGCACTTCTCAGTGTGTCACAATAGGGCTGATCTCAGGAAACAGCAGCCAAGAAGAGCTAACAGGGCCAGAGCATAGGAAGCCAACAGGCTAACAGTGGAGTGTGCGCAGGGGGAGGCGAACGTCTGGTTACCACTCCCTACTAGGTGTCACCAAATGATCCTTTCTGTACGGGATACAAAGTATTGGCTAAGAAGAGGTAAGTGTGATTATGTAAGGTCATTCTCCAGGAGAGCGTGCATACCTTTTAAAGTCAAGTTTCAGAGAAAACCTAAAATGTCAGGAAAAAAATCTGTAACAATCTCTAAACCAGGCAAGGGAAATTATTTCAACCAACCAATCAGAAAGCAGAAATAGAACCAGGTGTAGTGGTGCACGCATATAACCACTGCATTCAGGGGGCTCAGGTAGGGGTTGCCATGAGTGTGAGGCCAGGCTGAGGCACACAAGAGACCTTGTTTCAAAAGGGGATAGCTACAAGTATGAGGCTAGCCCAAGACAACCATTAAAAATGGTAAATTTCTATTTATGGGAGACACTTAAAATAGAACAATGATTGGAAATGTAAGATACAATTTTGTTTCCTATTAAGATAAAATCACCACTACCACCACCATTCTCCAAAGGAGTTACTACCAAAAACACAAACTAAAACCCAAAAGAATGATGATTTCCCCCAAGTTGTGAGAATCTCTGAGACAGACTGTGATGATAACGAACGTACCTTGAAGGTGGGGCAAGCCATCCAGGTGCTGTCCACAAAGGAGCTATGGCTCTGCTCGGGGAGGATGGGTGGAGTGCTCAGAAATGTCTGCAACTCCTTCCTCCTAGAGCTGCTGCTTCCCCCAAATCCATCTCACAATGAGAGGGGTCAACAGCAACTGGGAGATGCCTGGAGGCCATGACCTTCCCTTTAAGCTACTGACAAGTGTAGTACAGAGGCTGGCTTTGATCTTCCAAAAACAGATCACCAGACAGCTATTATGTCATATCTGAAAGCAAGCGAACACACCACCCACCCATACCAGCAATGTATGGCAATGGGCTGGAGTTAAGAATTCAATTCCATGGGCACCAGCTAGACCCACTCAAGAGTCATGTAGCCTTCATGAGCACCAGCCAGTCCCACTCAGGGTCACAGAGCCTCCATGGACTCCAGCCAATCTAAGTGGGGTCATGTAGCCTCCATGGACACTAGCCAACAGACCCTAACATTTGGGGGTTTGTCAGGGATCACCAAGGACTCCTACCCAGACTGGTTGAGCGGTCAAGGGGACCCTTTTTTTCTTCCTGCTAAGTTTTTGGGCACCCTGTATCTGGTCTGTTGTCTAATCGCTTGAGTGCAATGTGGACTTAGCAGACAAGCACAGTCTAGAGGCCAGGGTTGACAGAGGATGCTCCCAACCCCCAGAAAGGGCTTTCCGGTCTGGTTCTGGGAGAATCTTAAGATTCTCAACTGGTTTCTGAGCCAGCGTCAGGTCTCTTTGCCTCTTGTACACAGAGAGTGAGAACAGGGGGCGCTGATTACTGGGTTTTCTTTCATTTTCCTAGGAACGTCTGTCCATGTCTTCGTCCTTGAGTGTCTACCCCCTTGAATATAGTGCTGGGTTGTAAAGGATTCAGGTTTGGTCATCCACCCCGGCAAATTAACTATCTTTTGTAAGAAAGAATGGTCCACATTCAAGCTGGGCTGGTTGGAGGAGGGGACGTCCCGCTTGCCTACCATTGGGGTGTAAAAGCTTTAGTTTATGAGAATACAGAACACTGGGACCAGATTCCCTATATTACCACCTGGCAATACCTGGTGGAGGAACTCCCCCATCCCCCATCTTTGTTCAAACTTTTTCTGAACCCCGGGCCTTCCATACCCTAGGTCCAAGAGGTGCTGCTGCACTGACCCCCCCATACTTTCCCCTTTAGCCCCAGATAATGAGGACCTTTATCCCCCACTCTATGCACCCACTCCAGCACTGGACCTGGCTCTTCCAACTGTTCTTGGGGAGCCACTGCTGCAGGTAGAGGGGAAAAGGCTCCTCCTCAACCAGACCCTCTGGTGAGCCGACTCTCCTACCATCTTTGTCAAGGAGTTGCACAAGGGCCTGGGGGAGTATAGGTGTGCCCAACCCAAGTGTCAGTCTTTTGAAGTACATGGCTGACCTACCTGCTGCCCACCACGCAACCACCAACCTGCTCTAAGAACTGGCCCAGATGGGCTGTCAAGTATTGGCCAAGTAAGCCCAGCTGTGCCAGCAGGAGGTAACATACCTCAGGTACATACTCAAGGCGGGGGGCGCAATAGATGTCCCAAGCCTGGAAAGACGCCATCCTGAATATACCAACCCCTTCCACCAGGAGAATTTTTAGGGTCAGCAGGCTTCTGTAGACTTTGGATACTAGGGCTCACTGAAGTTGCCAAGCGGTGCTATGAAGCCACTAGAGGGCAGGAGGGCACGTTAAATTGGACACCTGAAATGGATGAAGGCTTTGAAAGGCTTAAAAAGGCTTTATTAGAGGCACTGGCTTTGGCCCTGCCACACATTTATAAACCCTTCCACCTAAATGTAGATGAGAGCAAAGGCACAGCCAAAGGGTTTCCCCGGGGCCTTGGAAAAGGCTTGTTGCATATCAATGCAAACAACTGGATCCCACGGCACAGAGATGGCCACCTGCCTCCGCACGGTGGCAGCAACCACCCCACTGGTCAGGGACAGGAACTGGTCATAACTATCCCTCAGGCCATAGAGGGAATTTTCAAGAACACACCCAACCACTGGCTATTCAATGCCCGGTTGGCTCCGCACCTCACTTCAATCCAGCCCATCATCAGCACTCAACCCTGCCACCCTGCTGCCAGACCCAGATGCAACTGTCAAGCATGAATGCTCCATTGTTTTGCAACATGTCCAGGATCTCCACCCTGACCTGACTAATATCCCCTGGCCAGATACAGATCAGATACTTTTCACTGGTAAAAGCAGCTTTGTCCGGAAGAGCACCAGGTATGAGGGGTGGCAGTGGGAACTTGAGTGACAGCCTATGGGCAGACCTCAGCCCAAAAAGCAGAGCTGATCGCTCTGACCAAGGCCTCATAGACAGGCAAAGGTTCTGGCAGCACCGGGTAATCCACAAGAATGTTTAGGTAACTTCTGGCCCTAGCTCGAGGCTCAACAGCAGAAACTACAAGCCAATCCAGGGAAGAGCGGTCAAGAGTCATTAGGTTATAAAAGAAATTATTGATTCAAAAAAAGTCTGGTTCCTTGATCATCTCCTTTTAAGAAACGAATAGAAAGTTTCGTTTATATTAAAAGAAAAGCCTCTTTGAGTAAACTATTTGCCTCATGTGTTTTCTGAGAGGAGCTAATTGCCAGGGGCAGATAGTTTAAATTTGAGAACTCTGTAGAGAGAATAAATGCCAAAATCCAGAGAATGTTGGAGAGCTCTGAGAAAAAACAAGGCTGCTGCTGCTTCTCCCTGCAGCTCCTGGTTGCTATTGTTGCAGTGAGACAAGAAGTTGGAAATCTGAAGGGAGGATTGGACTGGCTCCAAAGAACCCAATGACCCTAACCAGTAGGAAGCAGCTAAGAGAATTGTGCTCCCTCTCCCACTACCCTTTTCTGATGGGGTACTGGAAGGGATTGGGGGAAAGCAGGCATTCTTAAGCAGCAGTACCAGCCCTTGGACCCATCTCAAGGATTCGAGATGGAATCCTACTCAAGGAGGAAATGAAAGGAGTTAATTTCATGGGCATCGGCCAGTCCCAATCAGAGTCCCATAGCCACCAGCCAATCCCAATCGAAGTAACATACCCACAGTAGAAGTTCCCCTTTCTGGCTTTAAAGGGAGTCAATGAGCTCCCCTCAGGATTGCCGCTATTTTGTGAAGGTGGTGATCCCAGCCTGCTGGAATTCTCTGCAGAATAAATGCTCTTTGTTTTTGTATACCATGTGAGTCTGGGATCTTTCTTAGCAATTCACAGACCCTAACAGAGATGGCTCAGAGGTCCTCAGAAGAGCACTGGCTGCTCTTCCAGAGGACGCAGGTTCAATTCCCAGCATTCACATGGGTGCTATAACTCCAGTTCCAGGGGATCTGACACTCTCACACAGACATATGCATGCAAAACACCAGTGCACATTAAAAAAAAAAAAAAAAAAAAAAAAAGAAGAAACTGCCTCGTGAACAATGGGTGCACCTGAGTGAGTATAAGTCCTGGCTAAAGCGCACAAAGCCCTGTGCTTAACAGAGGGGCATGGTGGCACAAACCTGTAGTCTTATGTGCTTCTTTAAGCAGGAGGTCTGAAGTTCAAGGTCATCCTAAGTTGCATACCAGCATGAAGGCCAGCCCAGAGCTGAGAGGGTCTTCTTGAGAAATGGTCAGAAAGAACAGCATTTAGATAGAAGGTTTAACACCTGAGAAAACTGTATTCAGAAATAGTCAATACTTTAAAAACAACAAAACCCAGTCATATTTATTGGGATTATGAAATCCA